TGTAACTGCTTGACTTTGCATCCATTGTGCAAATGGGGGATGTTCTTATTCAGATACCTTCTGCTTATGGTTCTTTGACTATAAATGGCATTGCTTGCAATGTTCTAAACTGAGTACGAAGCTGTGATTAAATGGAGATGGATTTGGGATTTAAGCTGGTGAAGTAGATGCAAAACTATTCTGCATCTGTGCTGCTATCCCTTTGTGGTTCCCCTGAAACTTCATAGGAAAATGAACATGTTGTGTCGCTGTCTGTAAAAGCTAAGCAGGTGTCCAGTGCAGGCAGGTGGATCCTTGAGCTTTGCCTCACTTACACGTTGACTCGAGTTTAGTTCCTTTAGCAGGTGGCTTGCTGATTGGTGTGCCATGTGACATTTACCAAGGGAGTTCCTTGGATGGCAGTCTGCTCATAGAGAGGCAGAGGGTCTTGCCTTTTGATGAGGAAATTGCTGAAACTCATGTCTCATTAGTGTTTCCTAAGGTTCTTGGGAAGCAAACAACAGTTTAATTAAAGTCTGACGTAAACACAGTTCTGCACATTCTCCCTGCAGCATTTTATCACATTAGAATTGATCAAAATAGTTGCCTTGGGCTAACTTGAACAGATATACATCTGGAGCGCCATGTGTGCAAGCTGTCATTGAGTGAGCTACATACGCTATGCTTCATAGCAACTTTCTTGTTTGCCTTACTTTGTAGGTGCAATTACCTTGTTGGGAGATGAATTGATCTAACTTTTTCAAATTTGTCTGAGTCTTTATCTCTCTGACATGCTAATGATTTCAAATTTACAACATAATGCAACCCAGACATGCATATTCTTTACCTTTTTTAGTATTATGCAGTAATAACCTGCAGCTTTTAATTTATTCATGCTTCTGTTTAATTTCCTCTACAACTTTTTTCAGGAATGTATTCAAATATTGTTGTCTGTTTTATATTACTGTAATATACATGCACAATGTTGGGATCAGATTATGAGTACCCATGATTAACAGAATGACAGCAGATTTTTCAGTACTTCAGAACACATAGTACAGTTTTAGCTCAGCCTTCCTCATTCTGGGAACTTTAACTCCCAAAATTATCAGCAATGGTGAAGATGGTTGGGGTGTTCTCAGAATTGTAATTTTCACCTTTAGAGGGGAGCTCAGGCTGTAGAAGGCTATTTAAACCGAAATCAGACACCTCTTTAATACTAAAACCATACTAACTTTTATTTCTTTTACTGCATCTGTCATTTTGATCCACAACTAATAGAATCCATTCCATTAATGATGGAACACTGGCTTGGTTGCAGTTTTGCAATTAGGGCTGTGCAAAACATTTTAAAAGATGCTTCGCAAACACATTGGTGTGAATGATGCACCCCTCTTTTTGAAGCATTAGAACAGCAGTGTCCTTTGGGAGGCTAAGGCAGCTGCTCCGAAAGCTTTCTCCTATTGTCTTTGCGTATGCGCACATCCAAAGACCATGCTTCCATTGGGTCCGCCAGTGAAGGAAGTTGTGCCGAGCCTCCTAACATATGCTGCTGCTTCAGTGCATCAAGGAGAGTGCTTTGCTAACAGTATTGCGGTGTTCTCTTTTCAAATGCTTTGCACGGCTCTGTTTGTGATACCTCATGGTGGTTGCTCCATTATGAATAGGTGGTTTCATCATTTTGATCCTAATTGCTGCAACATATATTGTTGATGTGATAAACTAAAATATGTGAGGCACCTTAAGTTTCTTCCTTAAAAAGACATCACATATACAGACACACGTGCTCACATACACAATCAATAATCCATTTCTCATGTTTTAAATACAGAGAAGGGCTTTTTATCACACAGTATTATTAACTAACCAGCGCAAAAATGTTTGTCTCAGAATAACATGTTTTGGTTTAGTTACTTCTAAAACACTTCAGTATTTTACCTTTCTTGCACAATTTCCTGCTTCCCTCCCCCAAGCAATTATTTATTTAAATCTATTATTTTCCAAAGACAATAAAGCTAATTTAAAATGATTTACTTTACCTTTAGAAGAAACACAGGACTCTCACTAGGTTTAGCTGCAATGATTGACAAGGATATGTGTCTGAAAACAAGACTTCATTAATTGTGAACTTCTATTCATAATTAACATGCAAAATAATGCCTTCAATTCTATTTTTAAAGGTTGTTTAATGATGGGATATTATGAATTAAAGTAAAGTTCTGTCAATGTAGTCTTCCATACAAATCCTACTCTCCTGTTGGCTGTCTGTCCAATAATCAGTAACTTCTGTACTATTTATTTCCCTTTTTCATTTGGAGAGTATTGTTTTACATGTTTCTTTCTTTCTTGAAATTATATTATACAAGTTCTGTAGTGGTTGGTTTGCACCTAGATGTACAAGGCAGTACTAGAGTCTGAAACTTATAGTCCAAGCTATGCCCTTCTCCACTTTCCTGCTGTAGTACATTAATTTTTTTAACAGAAGGCAACTGGTGAGGCTGAGAAAAAAATGGTTACTAAGCTTCCTCTTCAAAATGTCAGTGTGCTGCTATTTAAATTGGAAGAAGCAAACCCTGTGAACTCTTTTTGGGCTCACAGCAGGAGCAAATTCATTGATTTTTGAGGGCTTTTTATCTTCAAGGTGGGAATTTGGATGTGTTGTGCCTATCAAGAGCCACAACAACCCCTTAGTACTTTAATCTCAGCCTGTGTTCTTAGTGATCGCACACTCACAATCATGAAAGAATCATTAAATGAAAAGCAAATAGTTAAATCTTTTCAAGTGGTTTCTTATAAAATGGGCTTAAAGAAAATGAGAAAGCTATTTATTTGCAATACAAATAATACATTCCATTTATTTAGTATGAGGTGATGGGGGGGCGGTTTGTCCCTTTGTGTAAGTCTTGGCTACATGGACAAGTTCCTGCAGTTTTCCTGCAACATGTTTCAGAAGTAGTTTGACATTGCCTTCTTCCTAGGGCTGGAAGAAAGTGTGACTGACCCAAGGTCACCCATCTGGTTTCTATGCTTATGGCAGAACTAGAATCCAAATTTCCCCACTCCTATGCAGCATCTTAACCACTAGACCAAACTGGCTCTTAGGAGGGAATATATCTCAGTGAGGCAATTCTATTAACTTTAGAGGAGCTCTGAGAGGTAGATTAGGTGGAGAGAGATAGACAGACAGACAGACAGACAGACAGAGACTTGACTGAGGCAGCCTGCAAGCTTCATAGATGAGTAGAGAATTAAATATGTATACCCCATGCTTCTGAAATCCTGCACTCTACTTGTTGATTTAATTTTAAAAAAACAATGGAAATTAGTTTGGAGAAATTGTTTTATTTATGTCTTTTATAACTTTTTATCACTTAAACAACTTTCCAGTAATGAATGGCTAAGCAGTCTTTGTAATAGTGATGGAATTTTTTCTTAGTAATTTGCTTCATGTTTCTACTTTTTCTGAGGGACTTGTAGATCTTCTCAAGTGGTCTTTGGCAAACCTCAGAATAATCCTGTTGTACGTTGCCTAGAGTTGCTATTGTGAAATGGGTGGCTATCTAAATAAATTCAGTCAATCAGTCCTAAGTATGAAACAGCCTTCAATTAATTTGTAGTGAGAACTGGTGATCACAGAAGCTTCTGTTTAAGACAGGAAGTGCAATAAGCCAAAAGGAACTGAAAACTACAATGTTCAAGATTCCAGGAATCACTATTCAAAGACTTGCTGTAAAAATAGAACTTGTACTGCTGAAAGTCCTCTCCATAGACATCTTTCTCTTCTCTCTCTCCTTAAAAATGAGGAAGGTCTGCAGTCAAATTAAGCTTATCACAAACTGGATAAAAACTTAGCAGGGAATTTGGCTCATCAAAATCAGCATTATTGAGAGGAAACCCTTTGGAAAAAAATGGTACAATTATTATAAATAATTGCAGGATAGCCCAGTTAAATACTACTTCTTGGCACCTTCTTATCTAGTCAGTTAGGATTGGGAAAGATCTGAAGATCAGACTATGTCAGGATGATATGTCTATCTTTTCCTCCATACGTTAATAGAGATACTATTAAGAGTGGGTACTGAAACTGAACTGCAAGGTTTTGCTAGCATTCATTGGACTATGCCCTCTGTCTCTGTTTCAGTCACTTATCCAATGTTATATATATCTAGTATAATCTTTCCACATACACTTTTATGCTTCTTAAATACTTCTACTCAAACCCAGCTCTTCCTTTAATGCTGTCCAGTCTATATAACAATGTGATATTAAATGTGTTTTCAAGAATTTTTCAACTTTTTACATCAAGTGAATTTATACTGATTATATGTAAGATTCATAGGATCAGGTGTGGAGGAGAGGAAAATTATACTGTCTTTGTGAAATGGAGTTAGATGTATATTCAGAAGAGTAGCTGTTGCTAATAGTGGAATTGCTGATGTAGGTACGTGTTTGTTAGGATTCTCATTTGTATGTGTGTATGACTTTATCATGTAAATATGAGGTGTATAATTTTTATATGGTGACCCCATAAGAGGTATGGTGATAACATCTTTGTGTCTTAGGATTT